AGGAATATCCGGTAAGGCGCTGGAGGATACCTCTTCTGATAATAACGTTTTTCCAAAGGACTTTCTGTTTGGTGTTTCGACTTCTGCGCCTCAGACGGAAGGCGCATGGAATGTAAGCGGTAAGAGACTAAAAAATGAGAGATGCACTTTTTAGGCTAATAAACATTTCTATGTAGCTGAAGATACACTTTTATATTTTATAAATATCATCAATATCAGGAATTTTTTTTACTTTGTCATGCGTTTAGATATATTGTATATATCCTAAATATATTGTATAGACAGAGGACCGTCTGTGTGGGATGTCATGATTCATGCGGATCCGAGTTTACAACAGGACCGGAGTAATTTTGACGTAGCGACTGATTTTTATCATAAATACAAAGAGGATATACGTTTGGCCAAAAGTGTCGGTGTAAGCATTAAGATCCTCTTTACATCTCTTCGATATGAATATTTTTTAATACTTTTTAACTGTTTACTTACGAACAGAAAATATTCGTTTCACATATGTTGTGAATAAAGAAACGGCATTTATTGTAACATTTATTACAAAATGTGACAAATCTTGTTCCACAGGCTCAAATGTTCAAGCTTTCCTTTTCGTGGTCAAGAATTTTGCCGAGTGGCTTTACGAATCATATTAGTAAAGACGGTATACAATTCTATAAGAATGTACTTAATGAGATAGCAGCGAACGAAATGATTCCCATGGTTGCGTTGTTCCAAATGGACCTGCCGTATGATCTACAAAAGATGGGCGGTCTATCTAATCCCCTGTTTATTGACTGGTTCGAGCAGTACGCTCGACTTGTCTTCGCCACTTTTGGTGACAAAGTACGTATATGTAGGAGAATCCGAATACGCTTGATTTTTTGGGATACTTGATTCCTAACGATTATTTCAATAATTGTCAGATTTATTTATTTTTCACGTTAGAAACAATGTTTATTCCACAACGAAGTAATAATTTTTTTTTATTTTTTGCGTTTTTTCTCAATATGGTACATTTTTTTAAACGGTAAATTTTGGTCGCTAAAATATAAATAGCGTATATGTGGCGGAATGATAATAAGCTAAAGCATCATGTAAATCTATAATATTTCATTATTGACACGTGCATTGTAATGAAGGTTACCAAACAAATATTTCAACATCATGATTAAATTAAACGATAAGCATAACAACGAATATTTAGGTGAAACACTGGACGACTATCAGCGATCTGAATCTGCTTTGTTACTGTGGTTACGGCAACAGTTATATTCCGCAAGTAAACTTATCAGGAATCGCAGATTATTTATGCGGACACCATGTCTTGCTGGCTCATACGAGAGTTTACCATCTATATGATCGTGAATTTCGTCCTAAACAGAACGGTAAGGAGGCTATCGCTCTGCGACAATTTTTCGCAAAGATACGTGACTTTAAATTAGGTTCTTTTTAGCGCTGATTTTAAGTGATCCCTTAATTTTGTTGAAGAGTATATTACGCTGTTCTAGGAAATTATCTCTTTCTTTAAATGTCGAAGTTTAAATTTTCCAGGACATTTTGGACCAAAAATGTACATAAAAATAAAAATATCCAGAAAAATAATATTGTTTTCATTTAAGTAATGATATTTTGGGCCGGTCTTAGGCGAAGTGGGTTACACCATTTATTATCAAGTGCCCCAACCGGGGGATCCATCGTCAGATAGCGACGTGGCCATCGCGGAAGTTGACCATCAGAGGTTCAACAATTGGCTGGTACATCCGATTTTCAGCAGCACCGGTGATTACCCACCTATAATGAAGGAAATAGTAGCTATTCACAGTCGTATACAGGGGTTTTCTACGTCGCGTCTACCGAGATTCACGGAGGAGCAGATTCGCAACATGCGTGGTGCTTCGGATTTCCTTGGGATACATTATTATACGTACGAACTAGTAACGCCAATGAGCGACGTCGATATTCACGTTGTGAATTATGATAATGACTTCGGGGTGGCATATGCAGAAGAACCATCTTTCAGGGTATAAACTATTTTGTTTATTATACTTCTTTGTAACATTTGCTTTATTAAGATACGAAGACGTTACTTTATTTCTGTAAATTCTCTTCCGCCGCATCCTACATAAATTTGGCTTTTATTATTTGTTTGATGGTTGCTATTCAATGATTGCTAGTCTGTCGTAAACGTTTTCCATTAGAAATTATTATTAAGAAAATAAAATTTGCGAGTGTGAATGATACAATTTTCGCATTTAGGACGCACCATCAATGCTTGGGAAACTAATACAGCGCCTAAACCAGGATTATCATCCTACAATTTACATTACCGAGAATGGTTTTTCTGAATCCGCTTTGGAGGACAAAGCTAAGGTGGCATACTTTCGAGGGCACCTCGCAGAAGTGTTAAAAGCCATACGGAATGGCGTCGATATTCGAGGTTATCTGTTGTGGTCGTTGATGGATAGCGTCGAACTATATTTTGGTACACAGTAAGTTCATTGGTTTATTCAAATGTAATCTTTATCCAGATGTAATATTATACAGAATTTACTTCGGGATAATAAGGAATTATAATATTTGTGTTTTCCAGGCTTCAATTTGGTCTTTTCCATGTCGATTTTAATCACCCGAATCTTACTAGAACTCCAAGACTGTCGTCTAAATTTATAGCTCGTGTTTACGAAACACGACGCCTAGATTCAGCAGCTTGATATTATTAAGCTCCGTTATAAATATTGGAAATAATTAATAATATATTGTGTAATAAAATTATAAATATTTGTAATAAAATATATAATTTATCGACATCTAAAAAAATACACATGTTTCCATGTATATACATATATAATTTATATATATACCCATTTATATATCCCATTTTATATAATACATTTTATCATCTGTTCTGCAACTTGTCATAGACACAAATTTTCCAGGCAAAAGTTGCATGGTTTGAAAGGGGACACAGATGAAAATGCGGACTTGACCTTGCGTCACTCGCAAACCTGCCATATCCCAATGCAAATAAAGAATTTGTATTCGCGCTCCCTCGTGTCTGGCCGATAAATAAAGGAACACGTATATATACCAGGTGCAGAAGTATGAAACCGGAATTTCCCTGTAGATAGTGCTAGCCATCAGTTTAAGGACCGTAAGACCGCTTCTGCAGCGCCATCATCTCCCTCTAACAGCTGACGAAGATTTTCAACACACAACAACCCAAGTTCCATACACCGGTATATTTTTCTATAATCTTAAACATGTCGAGTTTTGTGCCTACGAACTACGATTTGCGGACAGCATTGGTTTTTTGTTATCATTTGAAGAAAACTGCTGCGCATCGAATGCTTGTCGAAGCTTACGGTGAACATGCTCTTGGTAAAACACAGT